TAATATATTTTTGTACTTTTCTTTCTAAAAATTCTGATTTCGACATTGAATAATATATCATGTTTTTTTCTGATGGTTTTTTAAATGAATATTCAGATCCCCTCAAGCTGTGATATACAAAACAAGAACTGTGAACATGACTGCACCATTTGTGCCTTCTTTCTCATCTAGAGGACCCCAATCAATCAGTCTCAACATTCTCAAGGTAAAAAAAATGAGAATTAATGGTTTCATCAGACACCGCTTCGTATTGGTTTTTTCGATGTATATAGGCAAAAACATATTTTATATAAATATTTTATCAAATGGCAAAAACGTCATTTTATCAAGGAATGTCATCTGACACTACTTCATAAAAGTAAACTTTTACCTACGTGTGCAAAAAGTATTTTTATGTAAAACAATTAAGTATATCTTTGCCATAGGCCTAACACCATTCAAAAGTAATACTCGGACTATGTTGCTCGAATTGACACTCCTTAATTAGAAAATTCTTTTATATCAATAGGTAGATAAAATAATTATATCAATATACTATATGTTGAATCTCTTTAACTTCTTCATATATTTATTTATTTATTTTCTTTTGGACTTCTCTTAATGCAAATTTATGTGTATATACTATATGCTAAATGTGGAGGGTCTATCTAAAACAACCTCTTTATCTCTAACTTTATATGTGTGGTCACACACTGGGTGTTGTTGTTGTATACTATATGTTAAATTCTCATTGACTTTTTTGTCGTTGTGTATTTACGTTTTGACTACCCTTAAACTATGTACACTCTACCCTCTTCAAATGTCATTTGTAGGATAATAATGGGTGTTGTTGTTGTAGTATACTATACGTTAAATTCCCTTAACTTTTTGTTGTCGTGTGTTTATGTTTTGGCTATCCTTAGACAACGTACACTCTACACTCTTCAGATGTCACACATGAGATAACAATAGGTATGTTGGTGTTGTATACTATATGTTAAATCTCCTTGACTTTTTTGTCGCCATGTGTTTACGTTATGACTATCCTTAGACTACATATACTTTATCCTCTTCAGATGTCACCCATGGAGTATATGTTAAATTTCTTTGATTTTTTCATCTAACATGTGTTTGTTTTTTGACTTTTTTTAGTGAAAACTCTAACTCTGCTACTGCTCTGACACGAAGTATTATTATTATTTTATTTGTGGCAGCCTGACATATCTGCCCCTGGATTGAGCATCTTGGCTGCATTTACAGGATTGAATTCTATCAATGGTGATAGAACTAAAGACAAGAGAATGGTTAAGTATAATGTTGATTCAGGCACTTCAATGTCTTGTCCACATGCTGCTGCAGCCACTGCTTATGTTAAATCCTTTCATCCTGATTGGTCTCCTGCGGCTATTAAATCTGCTCTCATGACAACCGGTACATTTTCGACACCTGTCTCAAACTTATACACGTGTAATTCGGGTTATTAATCTGAGTACTTGTCATGGACGGTTACATCTAGTTATCTTTTTAGGTAGCTTTAGTGACCACACCACGAATTTCATTCCTGGTAAAGAAAAAACATTGAATTAATGACATACAACTTTTATCTACGGATTATCAAAAAAATCATGTTAGCTATCGCTTGACTATATAGTAGGGGTAAGGCTGGGCACCGGAACGGGTTGTACCGGTACCATTCCGGTCCGTTCCGGTACCATTCCGGTTCGTTCCGGTCCGGTAGTATTCGGGACGGGATGGGATACGTTGAACCGGTACACGGAACGGAACGGTACCATGATTTGGTACCGGTATACCGGTAAAATAAAAAATAATTTTTTTTTCATTATTTACTTTTATTAGCATTCTTTTTTGTTTATTTAATTTTTTAAAAATTACAAACTTAAGTTATTTAACTTACAAGTTATAAGTATAACTTAATAACTTATAAACTTCAAAAGATTCAAATCTTTAAAACTTATAACATAACTACATAAGCTGAAAAACTAAAAAAAAAAAGTTTATTAAACTTAACTTACAAACTTATATACGTAAAAATTAAAAAAAATATCTTTAAAATAAACTTAAGTAAAATTATTATAAATTTTAAAACTTAAATACTATAAATGAATATAACTTAGAAAAATAAAAAAAACATTCGTATTTTCGTAGTTAAAAAAAAATAATTATTTTTTGAAATAGCTATATGTGTCGTCCCGTTTATCCCATCCCGTTCCGTTCCGGTCCATTCCGGTCCGTCCCGGTTCTATCCCGGTATATAGTGGGACGGGACGGAACTGAGCCTCCATCCCGGTAGTTCCGGTCCGGTTCATCCCAGTACCGGTCAACAACCCGGTCAAACCGTCCCGTTCCGGTCCGGTACCGGTTCGTTCCGGTCCGGTGGTCCCATTCCGGTCCGGTGCCCAGCCTTAAGGGGTGTGCATCGGTCGGTTCGGTTCGGTTTTATGAATTATCGGTTCGATTTATCGATTTTCGATTTTTAAATACGCTAAACTAATAAGATAATTTTTTATCGATTTTCAGTTTAACCAATAAAATATGCTTATAAAACAAATATATGACTTCTCTAATAAATTTGACACGACAAAACAATAATGTAACTTTACAAAACTCATAAAATAGAAATAATAATAACAAACATGAAAAGAATTATACATGTGTAACACAAAGAGAAATAAAGAGGAATATGATTCTTACTTTAGGTTTTGATGATTTGTATAATGTAAAGTTGTGAACTCAAAGTCACAACAAAGTATGAATTGATGGCTAAATGATAAAGACATAACTATTAAGTTATTGAGATTAATATTTATTAATATGTATGTATATGTAAAAGTATTAAATTACTATAGTCTTAACTCTTAAACCAATAACCCAATATTGAAAATCAATACCGAACCGATAACTCGATAATTTTTTTTCATAAAACCATTAATCCAATAACCCAATAGCAATAAATCAATAACACTTTTTTCAATTCGATTTATCGGCCGGTTCGATTTTTGCACACCCCTACTATTAGAGAATAATTTTGTAGTTAATTCCTATTTTTTTCTTAGTATCACTTGTATATTCAGAATTTAATATATATGTATAAAACATAATATATGACCTATATATACACATTATTGAATAATTTTTTTTATGAAGCATGTTCACCTAACCATCCTCTATTGACGGTAGATGCTCCACTTTGCGACTTGATAGTGTAATAATTAATTCAGAATCCCTATGTCCTTTTTCATGTGTGATACTTTCATTCTTAGTCTGTTTCAAAAAGAATGTTATGCTTCCTTACTTAGAATCTATTTAAATTTAAACTTCTCATTTCAAATGTGTTTTTGTTTTTTTTAAACTCTTTACTGAATCATAGTGTATCACAAAAAATGGAACGGCGAGAATATCTACTTAGGCAAGCTTAATGGTGAAATCAGTAATTTTACTAAAAGTATTTAAGATTTAATCAACCTTCCTTCGCCAATAGTTAGCTTCATTATGTTTGACCCGATAGTGTAAAAGTTATTTTGTATTGTTGTTGTATAGACCTATATATACATAGTATTGTATAATTATTTTAATGAAGGATGTTCACCTGACCATCCTCCATAAACGGTAGATGCTCCACTTGGCGACTTGATAGGGTAAAAATCAATTCAGAATCCATATGTCCCCCTGATACTTTCCTTTTTAGTTTGTTCCGAAAAAAATGTCATACTTCCTTATTTAGAAACAATATAACTTTAAACTTCTCATATCAAAAGTGTTTTAATATTTTTTTCGTGAACTCTTTATTGAATCATAGTGTATCACAAAAAATGAGACTGGCGAAATCAGCAAGTTTACTATAAATTTAAGATTTAACCAACCTTCCTTCGCTAGTAGTTAGCTTCATCAATGTTTGATCTGATAGCGTAAAAATTATTTTATATTGTTGTTATATAGAAGTTAATGAACTTTTTTTTTGTTAATTTTCAGCTACATCTATGAAGATTAGGCCAGTGGGAGCTGAATTAGCCTCAGGATCAGGACAAATAAATCCAAGAAAGGCAATTAATCCTGGTTTAATATATGATCTTGATATTAACTCATATATAGGCTATTTTTGCAAAGAAGGTTATAACAGTACAAACATAGCTTTACTCACTGGAAGCAAAATGTACAACTGTTCAAGCATTCCAAAAGCATTAGGGGCAGATGGACTAAATTACCCTTCAATACACTTGCAACTTCAAAATCCAAATGAAAGTGATATTTCTGCAATTTTTTATAGAACTGTGACATATGTTGGGAATGGCAAAGCTGTGTATAAAGCAAAAGTTAGGGGACCAAAGTGTCTTTCTATAAATGTTGTGCCGAATATTTTGTCATTTAGTAAAGTGAATGAGAAAAAATCATTTAGTGTTGAGTTGAAGGGAAAGTTCACTAGAGATAAATCATGGTACATTTCTAGTTCTTTAGTGTGGGGTGGGAAAAAACCTTATGTTAAAAGTCCTATCTTAGTTTATAGGCCATTATTTAATGTTGTGTATTAAAAGCTAGATATTGTTCAATAAGATACTAAGATTTTGAATCATTTGGTTTTTATCTTTTACTGTTTCTTTCTTGTACACCCTTCATGAAATTTCTGGCTCCGCCATTGTTAATTCGCCTGATGAGGGGCTCGCATCAGATTTAGCTAGTTAGTGAGTATTGATGAGGGGCTGACGTAAATTATTTCAAAATTTAGAAAGAGACATTCTATACTGGTGATAGTACTTTAACAAACTTAAACTTTTGAAATGTTCAAAATACAGGAGCACATATATTTTACATCCTCTTCTAATATTTACTCTTAGCAAAACCAAAATTCTCACAAAACTTGTAATGTATTGCTGCCGTTACATCTATCTCTTACTGAAATTAAAAGATGGCTTATATATATATATACTAAGACAAAAACCGAAAAGGAGTGCACCTTCTACTGTAGAGATTGACCATCAACAAATCAATATTTTTCGCCAAACTTCATGCCTGGGAAGTTTAATGGTGACCTTTCAAATGCAGTAGCTCTTTCCTTCGTTTCCGAGCCTCTGTTGCTGCTGCAATGGCGTCTGCCGTCTTTTCGCTAGAGCAGGTGATGGATTCTTGAGTTGTCTTTTCTGAAGTATCTCCTCCATGTCCCGCGGTACAAGAGACAGCATTGGGATCAGGGGTATCGTCTTGTTGATGTCGAGAGGGATCAGTCATAGGGACCATTTCTCTAGAGCGCTGCCGCCTTCTCTCAGATGCACCTGAGTCTGGTGGAAAACCAAGCACAGGTTCCGTCTCGGTTTCCTGGGTAGTTGTGGCTGAGGAAGTCTCGGCATGTTTTCCAGTAACGGTAGAGGCCCAAGGAAGAAATGGAGTGTTTTGAGGATGAAATGGGATCAAGCAAGGGAAGGGAAGTACATATAGTGGATTTCCTGGATTTGAAACTCTGTTGTCTGTTAATAGAATTTAATTCGCCGGCAGTAGGTGAAGGCACCACTGATGCAATATCAGGAATATTTTGGGTACTACACTGTAATAAGTTGAAAGGTTGAACAATGGATGGCCAAAAGAAAGGTAATATAGGAGGCTGGTTAAAAAGAGAGGTCGGAGCTGGAGTCGGAGTTGGAGCTGGAGCTGGGCTTGGAGTGGAAATTTCTACAGGTTTCGACCTAGAAGCACCATCTGTTCCCTCTGCTTCAGCCTTCTCTATTCTAGACATCTGCAGAACGCCAAAGTCATTCGTTATAGTTTTTCACATGTGACTGTTCAGGTGGATTATATCTCTCTTTCATAGTCTGAATTTCTAATTTGATATTTTCCTCGATAAAACCAGGATTACCTGTCGTCTTAAGGTAGAATTTTCGTTCTTCAAAGAATCGTACTCCTTAGCTGCCAGCTCCTTTTTCTAATTGTAACAAACATCATCCAGCAAAAAATGAGTTCGTGGAGATTTGTAGCAGACCATAAAAAGAAATGTAATAGTAGGACGAGTATCTTAAGATCGCATGGACTAAGTTATACATTACTTTCACAACCAAGTTGTTTGTCAAAACTCGGATAATACAAGTGAAAAGAAATTCTGAATACCTTCTTCAGATTGTTGTTCTCTGATGAAAGATCAGCTGCTTTTCTTGTCAATTCTTCATACATTGCCTAAGAAGAAATAATTACATGAGCACGATATGTTCTCATACAAACACAAGAAATGCACGACTTCACATGAAGTGCTATTGCATTAATAAAGACCTTGCCATGACATTAAGTACTCTATTATTAACAAGTGAACAGGATGCAGACGTAATTTCTAACATATAGCTTCCGCAGGGAGAGAATAAACAACAACCATACAACTCGAATTAGTTAACTGAAATTTGCTTATAAACTGATGTTACCAAAAGAATCCCTCAGATGAGCATACCTGTCTCCGGCGAATTGTTTGCCTAGCAGACTCTCTATTTGCTAACACACGACAGAGTCTTCGTTCTTCCTTCTCCTCCTGAGATTACCAAAATCAAGCAACAATGCAGGGACATCCTGAAGGATATAAGGATGAGAGATCAATAATTTTCAGTACCTCAGTCAAATTCTGCCTCGATCTTCTGCTGGCAACTGGTGGATAGTTCAGAGCATGCTGAGGGCTTGTTTTTGGTTCAGATTCCTGCTCGGACTGTATCGTTATTACTTGTTCCTGTTAAAAGCAAAAGAATTACTCAACTCCTCCAAAAGAACTGGTAATATATCAAAAGTCAATATATGTGTCTGCTTAGATAAAGATAAACAAGATCCTTTATTTTTTTTCTTTTAAGAGTACTGTTTTCCTCTAAATGAGAGTTAAATGCTCATCAAGAAACTGGATTAGATAAAAGTGTTAACTTGTCTTCAAGAAAGTTGTTAGAGACAGAAAAATCCCGTCAACAGCTAAAATTAAGCCCACGTTGCACTAGACAAACTACTCTAACCTGTGCCTTCTCCATAAGAGAGAACGCCAGCAATTCCACAACAATGTTAATGATACAACTTCATCTGCTAGATCGAGCAATTAAATTATGGAAATGGTGGTCTAACTTCCACTACGAGCAACCAATAATTCACAACTGTAAGTTCAGATAGGTTGCCTCAAGAAGACATTCTTGTCAGTTGTGTAAAGTTTCTAGAGCCAAGCAGCACAAAGATATATGCTTTTTTTGTTATCTAAATTCTGCTCTATTTTCCTACCATAGAGTAAACTCATTTAGCAAGAATTCAATAAGGAAAAAAGTATTTGAATCATTAAAAGTGAACACCTCGCATTCTTGTCCTTTGAAACCCCCTACCTTGTGAAATTCTTAGTGGAAGGAAACTTACAGCTCTTTCTAACAGCTTTCCACTAAACTGGCGACACGTACTATACCAATGGTGGAAGGGAAAGGGAGTGGTTCCAGAGTAGCGAAGTAGTCATTGCAATGACAAATTCTTAATATCAAGCATCAATGTTGAAGAAGAGAGTTGGGAAGGGATCTTAACCTCGATCTTCCTAGATGAATGACTTCAAGAAATTGAAACTCAAAATGGCATGCCAAAATCCTTATAGCAGTTCCAAATTAGAATATGATATAGCTTTATCTATTTCTCCGTATGGAAATGTCGAAATGTTATACGGTACTGATCAGACATGTCATTTGATACTGCTCATCATATAAGCCCTTAATAGGCATGTAAGCAAACACGACAAGGTAAGTGTTTTTCATGGTTGGTGGCCAGGAAAGCATGCCTCACACATGAAGCTTTACAGAAAAGGGGCATAGAAATAGCCTCAAGATATGTTTTATGCCAGGAGGCAGAGGAAACCAACAGTCTTAAGTGTCTAACTCTTTCTACATTGCAAAGTTACAGCACAGGTTAGGGGTTTATTCCATAGTATGAGCAAGGAGGAATGGAAATGCCATAACATACAGGAGATCTTCTCAGCTGCTGGAACAGAAGTGGAGGCAGTAAGAGTCAGAAGAAGTTGTGGTGTATAGAGAGGAATGGGAGGATCTTTGAAGATAGATTTAATTCCGTTTCAGAAGATCAAGACAAATTGTATTGTATCTGTATGTTTTTGGTTGTAAAGAACGTATTATAATTTATAGTTGATGGAAGTACAGATAGTTGATTTTCTAGGAGCACTGAAATTACCAGTTTCAAAAAACAGATCATCATTAATACATACATGAAACTGTAATGTCTGAGTTTGAACTTCATGATTCATCAACACTTTGAAAAGATGTTTCCACCTCCTATAAAGAGACGATAACAATGAGAGAAACCCCTACTTAGGATTTTCTTTTATCCCCCAGCCACATTTTCAATTCTATACTCAGGAACTAACAGTTTTCTGGGAGTAAATACATGCAAACTAAAGAATAGTATTATCCATTAGATATAGCTGATATTATGAATGGGCATACACCCAACTACGGCAAGAATATGCTAGATAACCATGATCCGTCTTATCTTATGAATTGATTCTTGAATTCTGCCCAAGCATGGAATAATGCTAGATAGAAACATACATTGAATATGCCAGTGTGCATGAAATTATAATATAGAGTACTACTTTTACGATAGGCACTTCGCGCGAGTACCAATATCAACAAGTATATAATTACGAAAAATTAAAAGATATTATTAAATAATGTGCTCGAGCTATAAAAAAATATTAAAGGAAATATGTAAGTTCTCACTACATGCTCTCCATTGATTTATTTGGACCACCAGTAGTCCCACAACCCCACCTACGGACCCACCAGATCCACCACCGCAATTAACCAATGATAAACCGACTGATAACCTACTATTTACAACGGCTACTATCTCCTCCCTCACTGCTGCACCAGTAACCACCCATACTCAGACTACATCACTAACACTCACCTTCCCGCAAACATAATTCCTCTCGTCATCATGCAGCTGAAAATGAGAGCCATTTCAGAGAGGTCCATAACCATAGCCAAGCTAATGATCCAAAAGGAGCGGTTTTTCCACAAAAACAGAACGGTTTTCTTCAAGCGCAGAAAGACCAATCTTTAGCCCCATCACAGGACAATTCCTCCTCACTTAAAAGTCTCATCCCATTTCAGTCCTCCTTCACGCATTAATCAAAGCTTTAATGGCATACAAAGCTTCCAGCCCTACCCAAAAAGCCACAGAACAGAACATGGGAACTAACAATCCAACCACCATTTCATATACTAACCCAAAAAATCATGTCAGACCAGCTAGCTCTTCTTTCCTTTTTTGGATAACCGTAGTGTCCGGGCCAACTTTCGTGCACCTCGACTAATTCCACTGAATACCTATCACCTCCCTCCAACAACAGGTACTAGGTAGATCTGTCCACTAGGGTAAGGACATATGGCAAGAAATCATTGTGCCTTTGTCTCTGCTGGAAATTGAACTTGAGACCTCAAGCTTCTCAACCCACCCCATTGACTACTAGGCCACACCCTTGGGTGCCCAGCGAACTCTTTTTCCAAACCATCTTTTGCATCTACTGTCTCAGCCACCCCTCTCTAACAGTTCTAAGGACAAACCACAAGTAAAGATATAACATGGAACTCATATGGGCAAACCCATTTAGCGAGAATTCATTAAAAGAAAACAGTATTAGAACTTTTAATAGTAAAACACCTTGCATTGTTGTCCTTGAAAACCCCCTACCTGGTGAAATTCTTAGAGGAAACTTACATCTTCTTCTAACAGCTTTCCATTAAAATGACTTGCTGAAAAGATAGTAAACAAGCGGAGTTTAATATAGAACTCTTTGAAATTCACAAGAAGGCTTTACCATTGCAAACTAAATCAAGAAAACTGTTTATTTTTTCCAAGATTAAGTGAAGACACCATACGGTCCAAAGGCTGCATCCACCTTTGCACAATGGGTTCAAGTTAACCTAGTATTTTCGACAAGAACCAGACATATATATATGTGAAAAATCCCAAAAACTTTGAACAAATATTAAATTTTGAACCCATTATTTGTAAAGTACAATGAGTTTAGCCAAAGAATCTTACAGATTGAAAACATTCAAGTTCAAATCTTGGAACTGCCTCTAATGAGCTCATTGAGCTACTTATGTTTGAAATATGTGAATTATCTTTTCCACTGGTTTATACCGGAGAACTTAGTAGCTATTTAAGTTAAAGAATCTGGTGCAATTTACATCGGAGGATCTAAGATTTGAACTTCACGGATTCAGGATGCAACTATACTCGCTGATCATTTGAATTAACGGGTTCAACATTTAATATTTGTTCAGACTTACTTATTAAATCCGTATAACAATCTGCACCTAAAATAGTACCCGGATATGTGCTCTTCAGAAAAGGACATATACCCAAAACACATAAACACATGTACAGGGTCTGGGGCAGAGTTACTAAACTCATCTGAACCAGTAGCTTTAATCGTACATCCGCCCTTGCTTGCAAAATTCCCCGAATTGTAGATTTCAAAGTAAAAACAAGGCACCCTATTTTGTCGTTTCAGCATACACACAACAACAACAACATACCCAGTGTATTTCCATATTTCCATAAGTGGTGTCTGGGGAGGGTAGAGTGTACTTGGACCTTACCCATACTTCGTGAAGATAGTGAGGTTGTTCCCAAAAGACCTCGGCTCAACACATGACAAGGCAGTTTGAAAAGGACAATACATAGGTAAAACAAGGCTTAGCAACTAAGACATAACAAATAATAGAGAAAGCATAACAAACCATACAGAGCAAAATAATGTGAAAAACAAAGCACAAGAACGATAAACAAAACTATTCACTACTCAAAATTTTCATTAAAACAGAAGAAATCATTCCTAACTCACCCCAAATTGTAACCAAGATTACTAGCAGAGTTTTAGAAGGCTACAATTCCAATCGTGGAAGTCACAGTGTACAATAATCATCGAGTTGATTTCTGGTATAGTCACTTAACTAATAGCTATTATCTTAGAAAGGCACTTCCCTTGTTGAAGGAAATTGGAATCGAGAAAGAAAAGTGATTTTTCCGAAATTTGAAGAACAAACCACTTTTTTACTTCAAACTACTAACAAAAACTCTAAAACAACTCTAATTTGTATTCATGCCCAAACACAACTCCAATTTTCAAATATCATTTTTCAAATTTGAAAACAAAAACTACTTTTTCCAAATACTCACAACTTCCATAGCCAATAGCCAACTATTACTTGAACACGACCATATGAGAAATCAACTCAATAATCATCATACAAATACACAAATTCGCATATGACCAATGCTTGCATACATATACACATATCATCATAAACTTACCCATTTCAACTCAATATTCACTCCAAAATCAAAATTTCAAAACACACACACACACAATATACTTACAAAATCACAAAATAGTTGAAATCGACTATAATAACTCCAAATAAACATGAAAAAAAGTTCTTCTATTCAAAAAAAAAAAAACTACCTCAGAGCGACCAGATGGTCCTGGAACTGAAAACTCATCACTTCTACTCCCTGGATGAGCTAAACAAGCCAATGCTTGTGCTGCTTCCATCTCAAAATCCACCAGTTCATCTTTTCCATCTCCACCAGCAAACTTCCCTTCCTCCGCCTTGCACGGCGGCGTAAATTTGTCCTTCATTTTGAAAAGAAAAACAAACTGCAGACCCAAAAAAATAAAATTAAAATTAAAAGTGAAGAGAAAAGAGAAGAAAAAAAAAGAGGGTAGTGAATGAGTGACACGTGTCATGTCAAATCAGAGAAAATGCACACTCCCACTATTGTACTGTATCAGCAAAGACCACGTGTGTGACAATGTCACATATTGAGGCTTGGCACATGATGGCAATGTGGCGGGGCGCGGGTTTGGACTTCCAACGTACTCATTCATAAACCAGTTATTGATATGAATAACATTAAAAAAACATAACTAAAATAGCTAGAATCGACTTGAACCGAGAGTCGATTCATATACTTCATCATGAAATGATTTGGACTCTAAAAGCACGTATTCACAAATTGGTTATTATCGATATAAGCTTAAAGTCGACTTAAAAGAAAGAGTTGATTCATGTACTCAATTCGCAAAAATTCAATATGTCCTCTCGCGTTCTGCTCTACATAAGGTCAAATTGGCTCGATCACTTTGATATCCCTAAGTGTTACGGCTTTTATAAAGAAATTAAGAGCTCTTGATTACTTACAAAATGAACGAAAGAAAATAATAAGAATGAAAGAATATGGGTAAAAAACCATTAAACAAAAACAAAAAATTGTTAGTGGTGCAAAAAGCAAATTCTCCTCGGCAGATATAATAATTAAAAAAAATAATCTATTTTTATGCTATTACTGTATATTACTATGATTGTACCTGATTTAGGAATAGATTTTTTTTAGAAAAATACTTTCAAAACTTACGATTGACATAAAATAGACAGTGAATAGTATATTTTAAATTAAGAGAGAGAAAAGGTGGAAAAGTACTGACACGTGGCCAGTTGAAATACTGACACGTGGAAAATAAAAGGCATTAATTTCGTAAATTCATTGTCTTAAAAAAGCTTCGATTATATCTCTGCGGCGCCTTTTGTTGTGTTACATGGCACCAACGTGGCTAAAACATTTACCACTTACTCATTCCGTTCGATATTAGATAGACACTTTTTATTCTACACGATAATTAAGAAATCATTAATGGATTGATCAATTTATTATTTTGCTTTTTGTTCATAAAGAGAAATTTTAGATCTTTAAAATTTGTTTAAACTTTCAAGTGTCATATTAATTATAGGGATAAACTGGAAAAAATAATCAATTATATCCTGATTAGACAAGTAATATGAGAAAAAAAAAGTTAATTAATTATATCCTGATTTAGTAAGTGATCAAGTAATATGAGACAAATATTTTTAGTAAGATGCTCATGTAATATGAGTCGATATAAGAAAGGAAAAAGAGATTGAATTAATCCAAATGAAAATGGCCAAATTGTTATAAAACAATTAATAACTATACAAAAAATATAGCCAAAGAAATCAGTGGAGGGAGATATTTTTCTTTTGCTTTTCTTGAGATTTATATATAAAAAAAAAATTAAATTAGCTTTCTATTCATAGATTAAATAAAAAAGAGTTTTTTGTGCACGGACCGTGTTTAAGATTTTCTACACTCAAATAATTTTTAAGATAAACATGGTAATTTAATTAAGTAATTAATAAAATATCTTTTTGAATATAATTATAATCACGGTAAAATATAGTAAAGGAAATTTGAGTCTTCTTTCTTCTCTAACCAAAATCAATTCATAGTTATCTTCTTAATTAAGAAAGTTTATTTGTTTTTCTACATCTAAATATTTTTTTTGATCAAAAGTAATTTTCAATGGCACAAATAATTTCTTAATTATCATTGTTTTTTTCTTTTGAAATTTTGGCAAAGTCATGATCCGTATACACAATTCATAGTTGTCTTCTTCTTGTGTGTACGGATCATGACTTTGCCAAAATTTCAAAAGAAAAAAACAATGAAAATTAAGAAATTATTTGTGCCATTGAAAATTACTTTTGATGAAAAAAATAATTAGATTTAGAAAACCAAATAAACTTGGTTAATTAATTGATTTTGGTTAGAGAAGAAAGAGGACTCAACTTTCCTTTACTATATTTTACCGTGATTATAATTATATTCAAAAGATATTTTATTAATTACTTAATTAAGTTACCATGTTTATCTTAAAAATTACTTGATGGTGTAGAAAATCTTATACACCGACAGTTGTAAGCTACTTATCAGCTATTTCACCAAGCTACTCCATAAGCCACTTGTCAACTAGTGTTTTAGTAAGATGCTTGTAAAGTTATTTTTCACTCAACTTTATTTGTCCACTTTAAACTTAATACACTTAGTAAAAACAATAATTAAAATAGATTACTTTAATTAATATTAAAATCCAATTCTTATTATGTTTTAATCTAGTTGTTTCAACTTATAATATTGATATGTTTTGTTTTCATTTATGCCAATAGGAATTTATCATGGTGAACTACGTAGGACATTATGGTGGAGGAATGTGGCCCCTTCTAATGCTGCCACGTGGAAAAAAGGGTAATTCCGTAACTCGACTTAACTTTAAGGTTTTATTCTATCATTGCCGCCTTATTTTTATTTTTATTTTTGTCGTATTTGTTACCTATTTACGTAGCAACGACGTGTTTAAATTATTTACCTCTTATTTCTCTGCAAGTTAAAATATAAATTAATACTTCTAAGTTAAAATCAACTATATAAATTCCATAATGAAAAAAAGGAAAAAATCTAAATTGAAAAAACAAACTAACCTCATAGTCGAGAGGTGGTTCGGTTCACCTGAATTCAATAATTTTTGTTTATATCCTATCTACGCTATGAAAAAGTTTGTAGATTGTATATTAATTTAAAATGGTTATAAAAAGTAATCATAACCTTCAAATTTCAGATCCGCCTCTACGTAGAACCGAAGCTTTTGTTGCTTCTTCCATTTCACAATCCACCAGTTCATCTTTGTCGTCGTCGCTACCGGAAAACCTCTGTTGCTCCGCCGTGCACAGCCGTGTTGTTGAATTTCCGATGGGTTTGGTATTCATAGTGAGGTATAAGAGAGGATAAAAGAAGAAGAAGAAGAATGGAGAAAACGAAATTGGAGGAAAAATTAAAGCGGTGAATGAGTACAACGTGTCATTGCCAGATCATAAATATAGGTACAAAAGAAGCTCTATGTATCTATAACGTACACGTGGAGGCCACACGTGCAAAAGCTAATTTTGGCACTTGGTAGTAGTTTCTAGCATAACAAATTACTTTTTTTTTTCCACCCGATATCGGTACATGCATTGAAGCACGACTATTTTTACACTTGCACCGCGTAGGGTCCATTCAGGGAAGAGCACCCATTTAAAGATCTTAGACTTGATTCTGAAACATAATTTCATCCACTGCATCACATTACTATTTTTGTCTTTGATAGTCTTGGTGTTTGTGTCGGATAATTAAGTTCACTAAGGCTAAACAAATGAAATAAATCATTTGTGTGTTTTTATTTCTGGTGAAATAAAAATAAGGATAAAAGATATTATGACTAGTTAGAGCCGTCAATACAGATTTAGTCAGTTAGTCACCCGTAATTTGATATAATTAGGTTAAAAAAATTGAATTTCATCTATAAACAAGATTATTTAGCCCAATTTAAGTAATTCTTGGTTCACGAGACTTGAGCAAAGTTGGATTGATTTAAATTAAATAAAAAATATTTAACTAAAACTATAGTTGCTTTTGATTTTTTTTTCCTGGAAGCTCCCACCCCTTTTGCTCCCTTGGTGACTCGAACTCACAACCTTCGGATTGAAAGTGAAGGGTGCTTACCATCCGAGCAACTCCCTCTCGTCATTGCTTCTGAATTTCATGTACGAGCTACTACGTATTATCATGTTATGGCCAATTGGAAGAAAACAAATTAGATTGGCATGAGAGACCATATATGGAAGGGAATAACTCATACTCAAATGTTAGAAGTACAAATGGCATTTACACTTGCTAGAGTATATTGTAGCAGGAACATGGAATTTAAGAAGGAAAAAAAGACTTTGAGTTCAAGAAGACTTTACAAGTACATTGTTGAAAACTGGGGAAGAACAAGTAGGCGAACAAAGAGCGTCTAAAGGTCTAGGAGTTGATGATGGAGAAGGTCTAGGTGAAACATTAGTTAGTTCCAAGGCTTGCCATCGTAGTTCAGCAGGGTAATCGGCAATGCAGCCAATTCTTGGACCGGCGCCTGTTGACCAGACTCGAGATAGTTGATGGCCAAGTTGATATGATCTTGATGATTTCTTGGAATTGATCCTTTCTAGTATAGCAGTCTTTGGCACTTCTGTTCTCGGGCTGTGAAGGCCGCCTGAGAGCGTTCTCTGGTAGCAGCTAGTTGCAGCTTGTGGTGATCCAATTGATTCTTTCTTCTCTTCTTTCACTGCTTGTGGAGGAGTTGAAAGTTTTGGCGGACGTTTGTCAACAGATTTTACATTTACATTTACATCTCCGGAGGTGTCATAGTCTTCATTTGCCTTTTTTATCTGATGACAGATCACAAAGATGCAGATTATTTAGATTAGAACTTGGTGAATGCTCACAAGTCAATTTTGATCCAAAGCAGACGGTATGGTAAAAGGCCTAGGGACCTAGTAAGCATTGCCTCCTTTGAGTATTGAAAGGTGAATCCCACCCCAAGTCTCCAGCCCCGTGTTGGATCCTCAAAAAACACACTTACAATGTCATATTGAAGAGTCCTAACAACATAGCTTACAATAGGCTCTAGGGGTCGGGATAGAGGACTAATTGGGTCTTTGTGCCATTCAAAAGTAGATAATGTGATAAACAGCCCTCTCATACAGAAGAGAAATATGGATGTAAGACTAGACACATGGATAATCACTCACCTCAACTTCATCCACGTTGACTCCGTGTTCTTGGAGAATCGATAAAAAGGTTTCGAGGCTATCATCTGATGGCCGATAATGGCCACTGTAAGGTGAAATAGACTGAAGAAAAAGGATGTCAGAGTGTAGCAGAATTCAAGTAAAACATTGTAAACAGCAAGGCAAAAGAGTTCGGTATAACAAGCCTATATGCAAATTATATGGTGTAGAGTACTGGAGTTGCAAGGAAATTGCGAAAGAATTATCACAGACAGCGTTATATAAAGATCATATCCGACAAAGGTAAAGATAATCTACCTGATCAATTTGATTTTTAGTAGTTCAGATAAAGATTATGATACTGAAATCAATTTACCTACCTTCACTGTTCCATCCTGTACCACTAGTCTTCCAGCAGCTAAAGCAGCCCCACCAGCCAGAAAACTGGAATGATGAAACATTCCTTTCTTTTTCTGAAAGACATTACAGAACAGTAAAAAGTTATATTAATAAAGGAAAACAAAAGCAAGAAATTTATGCAGCAACACTATACCACTCACCTCACCAGCATAGAGTCTTTTTGATGTGCTCATCACAAAGATCCATTTTGCCCCATCTGGGCCTTTAGTTGTGTCAAGAAAACTTCCGGTTAGCTTATGCAGTATTTGCCCGCCAGCAATTATGTACTCATAATGTTGTCTTTCTTGCTGATTATAAAAAGATTAAGAAGGAACAATCAGGAGTTGTGTCCTATTATCAGGTAATGGGACATGCATAACAAGGAATCAAGTTAGATAGTGTATGACGGCGCTGTTGGTGCAAGTATTTTCGTGGACATATGTCTGTTGCAGTGCGTGATTGATGCTAAACTACGTGATATGTAGATCATAAGTAACAAAAGATTCAGCACATACAGGTCCAAGATACTTGATACATTGTTTCTGAAGCTTAGCTCTTGGACATTCTTTGAGATCAACCTTTCTGCCATCTCCAAGATCCAACCTGCACATACCTAGTCATTCTAAGCTACCCAGACTAAAGCTTATAACGTTTAACTGGTATCACATGCATTGTCTCAAATGTAAATCTTCAGGTCATCAAAGTCTATGTTGACGACTTTGACGACCTGAAGATTTACATTTGAGACAATGCATGTGATACCAGTTTCAGCATTCAGCTTCCTTACCAAAAGAAGAAGGGCTGGCCAGCATCAGTTTTACACCATTCTTCATAATAGATATGCATGTTATGTCCATATCGATGGCGTGGATCAATCTACAGTTACCACAACACATAGATCAATCATTAATAATGAAATTGAATAAAGCAAGAGCGGACACCAGAGTAAAAAGGACAGACTCACAGCCTCAATCCAGTGTTGAAAAGCTAATATCTGCGCTTCAGCATCTTTGGATAGACCTTTACCAACCTGACCAGAATGTATATATAGTTAATACTTGTTTGGTTTTTTCAGATGCGAAAAATAATCCCGGTATAAAATTTTGCATTACAACTACAATGTTAATTCTCCGGCAAAATATTTTAGATTACTACAACAACAACATACTCAGTGTAATCCCACCCGTGGGGTTCTCGGATTGTTTTGTTTGTAGCATAGAATAATCAGTGGTGTACGCAAGATTTTTCATAAGTGGTGTCACATTTTAAAATAAATATAATTAAAAAATTATAATATTATATTAAAAAATTAAGATTTTTTTTAGCATTTTTATGTGTGTAGCGAAATATATTTAGATTAAATAATTTAACCAAGAAAGAAAAAGGTGGTATTGAGGTTCAAACACCCAACTTCAAACCAGAAGTGAAGTACCCTGACCAACTGAGCTAAGCTCATATTTGGTTTAAGGAGTGTCACTTTATTGTATTTGTTCTTTATTTTCAGTTTGCTTTCCAGTTATTTATAATTATTTAATAAAAAATTTCAACGAAGCCGTGTCACGTGACACACCTTCGCCTAAGGTAAATCCACCCCTGAGAATAATTCCACACAACTATATCTGCAAAACTTTAGGTGGGGACCAGGGGCAAAGCTACAGCCATCGAAGGGTGGTCAGCTTCGCCAGAAAATTAAACGATATAGAGAGGTCAAATTCTGTATTTAAGGGATAAATAATTAATGTTGAACAACCTTAACATAAACTCTTCTGTGGCACAGTGGTAAAGCTTGTTCATTTCCACCCTTTGTGCGCAGGTTCGAATCCCATGGAGCACACAACCGTTTTAATTTTAATTTGATATAGAACACAACCTCACACACCATTATCATGCTCCTCAAGTTTCTTAATTATTAATATTAAAATTTTAATAATATAGAGTAACATATATGAATAAATTATTTTAATTTTGAATATTAAAAATCATGTATTTCTAATTTTTATCTAGGATATAATGTACTTTCGAATGGTGAAAACAAAAAGGCAACATTTTACATTAAAAAAATTGTGTTTATATATGTTAACAACTTTAAACCCAAAGCTAAAATCAATACATGCATTTTATCCCCTTCTTTTTTTTAAGAAAAAAATTCCTACTGGTGTGATTTATATTTCGTAAAGCTAGACGCATTTGTTCTATCAATATTTCACTTTAAAAACAATAATCATATATTTTTATCATATAAAGTCAATGCATCAAAAAGAAGAAGAAAAACTCGATTGTTTATATTTGATACTGACAAATGTTTAGATCGTTCATGGTAGAATCACTAGGTTAAATAAATAACATTCAACTCATTTATTAAAAAAATAAATAAATATCCTTAATGAAATTTTTGGCTCCGCCACTAGTGGGGACTATGCTAAGTACCACACAAAATAAAGAGTGGAATACGAAAGATCACCTAACATGACAAAAACAGCTTTAAATTATGGGACCTTGTGCTAGTTCTAGTAAATTAAAAGAAAGGCAAATTATATTACTATAAAAAACAATGAATAGTATAATACTTAAGGTCTTTTAATAATTTTCAATTTATATGAACTAGAACTTGTACAACTATACAAATAGTAAAACTAATCCCTGAGCTTGGTATCGAGATCTCTGCATAATTTAGCCTATAGTTTACTATCAATCATCTACAAAGTAAAACATAAATAATATTTCTTCTGTCTTAAATTATCTGTCGTGATTTCTAAAGATAGTTATCTCAAATTATTTTTTATTCTAGAAGTTCAATATCTATCTTGATTTCTAAAAATAGTTATCTCAAATTATTTTTTCATTTTAGAAGTTTAAGACAAGATTATCCTATTTT